GGCGGCAGGGGTCGGACGGGAGGGACGTAGCGCCAAGGAGCCTTGCTCCGAGTCGCGGCTCGGCGGGCGCGATCAGCTCGGGGCTGCCGGGCGTCCAGCCGCAGCCAGCGCTGCCCTCACGGAGGGGGGCGGCAGTTTGGGCCAGGGTAGCGCTAGAGAAACCACAGTCAGCACCGCTGAGAGAACGCCTCTGTTGCTCCGTTAGAGGTAATAAATGTAGCATACGAACAGGAAGCATGTCTTGCCGGATAGTTATCACTATGTAAATACCTCCACAAAGACACTTGCTTAACGCGCCTCACGCTGGGATTGTACCTCCTGGAAACTGTCACATGAGGAGTGACGGAGAGGTTAAATGCAGCAGCAGCAAGATTTCACATCGGCTTTTGGAAGTATCCTGTAGCCATGCAAAAGTACAGCATCACCAGTGCCAAAGTGCTCATTTCCAGTGCTGGTGCTGGTGGAGCCCTGCATTAGTATTCAAAACAGGGAAAAAGAGAGAGCGAGCTAGGCGGGCCAGCTAATTACAGCGGTCTGCAGAGACGAGCCGTGTCGTACCACATGATAAAGGATACCCTTTATCCAGCACATTTCTTTTTTCCTCTATGCCACTTTATTTATAGGAAAAAAAAAAAAAAGCATGAGTGAGTTAGTGGGTTTGGTTAAGGAATCAACCTCTTTTATTGTTCTTCTTGAATTTAATCTGAAACTATATAATGTTTTGAAACTTCCTTTTCCTGCCTGTTCCTCAGTCTGTAACCCTAGCAATCTCTCCAGCTTCTGTAATCTTAGCTCCCGTTTTCCCGGTTAGCATCCTGAGGTGAACTGCTCTGGGTGCCGAGAGTACTGGAAGCAGATGGGGGGAGAAGAGGACTTTGCTACCGTTAATGTGCCATCTGCAAGCAGCAACACTGGTCAGATTTTTATGGCCTAAATCGCAATTGCGGTTTGCTTTCAGAGCATCCGTTTTATCATGAATGGCACAGATAGGTCCGGAACTTATTTTCTGCAAGTACAAGGTAAAAGAGGTGAGGAGAACCCAATGCTGCGTTCACGAAAGGTGTGCACCTCCAGTGCCTGCTGCCCGGGGGAGTGACTGTGTGGATGTCGATCCTGTACACGCTGTAAATGGTGAGACAGTGAGGAATTAACGATTTTATTGGACCGAGTTTTGGAAAGGTTTATTACTCGCGAGTTAGAGCTAGGAGAAATCAAACAGTCAACATACCTACTGCCTACAGGGCCGGAGTTATTAGTGTTGCTTGGTTCTCCGTTGTCTGTACCCGGTCGTAACCTCAGGGATTGCAAGTGAGCCGGCAGCGCCCGGCCGTCCCCGAGCCCTGGCTCGCTTTCGGCACTGGCTTCCCCGGGCTGCGTAAGGGCGTAAGCAGATTAGTCAGCGTCTTCCATCAAAGAACACTCAGTGCTTAAGAGACTTACAAGACATCTGGTTTTTAGCCTCATTTCTAAATAAATGAGGCTTATGTGATTATACTGTCTGTCTATTGTCCCCTTGTTGGCCAATTTCGATCTTGACCCAGGGATTTTGGTCTCAAAGATGTTAACTTCCAGTAAATTTTCATGAACTAGTGACCAAGTACACAAAAGATATCCTGTTCAGGCCTTCGGGAGAAAGGGCCGCAGCACAAACTGCTCCTCGTCTCGGAGAACTGACACAACAGGGAACATGACGAATAAAAGGGAAATCTCTGCCTAGAACTTGCACTTGGCTGAGGTCCAGCAAATCCGACTGTCAGGAGCAAAACCATCACGGGCTGGACCGCGCCAGTTGCGTTGCTCACGGCGTAAGCTGTTTCCGCGTCCAGCTCCAAGTGGCTGTGCTTAGCAGGGACGCGCGTTTCCCGGCATGCTGCCCAGGTCCTGCGAGACCTGCGAGGCTTTGAGGCAGAATTACCCCTCCTGCCTGCCCCCAGCATACCAACTGCGCTCGCTTATCCAGGGATTGGTTTTTCTGAGCTGTGGATTAACCGAGTGGTACGTGCAAAGATACAAGGTCTGCACAAGCCTGGCTTAGTCTGGAAACATATCACCGTGTTCATATAGCTCTGCCTTTGGACTCAGTAGCATGGATCAGAGTCAGCCGGAGGATGCATGTCCTGGGGCAGCGATGTGGAGCGTGCGCCCCACGGCTCATCCCCCACTGAGCAGCGGACCTGCCCAGGGACTTTGGACGTAGTTAGCCTGAAATAGTCGGCAACTAACTGCTGTTATTTCCACTGCTGGTGAAGTTGGGTCCTTACCTGCAACATGAGTAACCCTGCCTTGAAAATTGCTCTTGCAAAATAATCTTGATGACTGAATTCTGCTGAGACTGCTGTCCTATAAATACTTTACATGTTAGCAGGTGCACGGGTACAAAACGTATCTTATACTAGTTAACGTGTCACTGAGATCCTGCAAATGGCGATGAGAACTGAAATCCTCTGTGTGCCCACGTTTGTAGAATTCTCTCTCCTTTACTCCCCGTGAGTTGCAGTTAAACTCTCATTAGAGCTGAAATTTTTCTCCTTTTGGCACACTCTTGACATTTTTGCCTTGTAATGGAGAACCTAAGGATGTATAATGGGTTGTGTAAAACCTACATACAGTAGTTCTGGGATTACAGAAGAAAAGCAAAAGGTTCATGTTCTGGTCCTTGTTAATGAACTAAATTGGATTAAATGTCTTTTTTTTTAAACAGAAATGAAAGACAAAAGACATATGAGGTTTATGAATAGGGTCATTAGTGTACCAAATTTCTCTCATTAGATTTGTTACACCACTTTCCAACTTGCACAACTCTCATTAGAAAAATTTATGAACTGGAATGATTACAAATATACCAAATTTTGAGCTATCCCTGCTTTTAAATGCAAAGCAAAAAGCAATTATACTTCTGTGATATAACTGATTTGTACTTTGTGCATATATTTCCTTTGTTGTTACGAATTTAATGTAGGACCTTCCAGAAGCCAGGGAGTCGGAGGGAAAGAAAAGGAAATTGTGCCACTTAGTGCAATTTGCAATTTCACTGCAAATCCTGAAGCACTGCTTTAATTTAGTAACCTCACCAGAGCCAAGTTAATAATGCACACTAACATGGCTGTGTCTTCTCCGTACTAGGTTGTCAAGTTCACATCCTTGCTTCTGATTTGAACTGACGGTGAGAGGAAGCATACGGTATCAGTCGTTCTGTTTGGACTCCTTGTTTACAGAAGAGTGATGGGGATGCCGTTAAGCACAAAAGGGATCACCATATGCCTGTTTTTCTTTGTATTGAGTCTGGCAGCAGCTATTGAAATACCATTATCAGGTGAGTTGTAGCTATTTACTGAACACTCTGCTGTTTTGTTTTGTTTTGTTTTTTACCTTTCCCTGAAGAAGAAAATATTAAATACTAGTTTCAGTTGTTCCAGTTTGAATTTAATTCTGCCAGAACACGGCCTTTGGGAAATGTGGATGTGATAAAAATGCAAGTTACTTTCTTTGGACCTGTTTAAACGCAAGCAGTAAACTTATCTAATAGCGTGTGTCTGATGTTTGAGATCCGACATGTTGCTTATCTCAGAGGGTTCAGTTTTGTCCTTCACATAAGTATCTTTTTTTGTCTCTGAATCTCCCTGAAGCTTGTTTGATGTATATACACCCTTACTTACTTGTCTTGCAACCTGCTGTTTCAATTGGAAAAAGGAGCAGGTGTATGTCTCAGGGAGTACATTAGTCCCCAGAGAAGTATTTCCTATGACTTGCATACTGCCCTGGGGAGCATCTGTTTTATCCACTTTTGGCTATGATGCGTTCAAACTGCCTATTTTGCATGGTTGGTGTGTCTTCCGTACATGTGTAAATTATGGGATGAGCCTCCTACGGGACAATCCAATGAAAATCAGTGGACCCCGTTGCCTGGAATACAGCCCACACCTCCCGAGCCTTGCATTTGTCAAACATAAGTAGACCGGGAGGATTACAGACTAGAGTTTGCTTTTGGGGGAAAAACAAACAAACAAACAAAAAAACCCCTCAGCAATACAGTTTTTTGAATGAATTATGCAGGCAAAGAAACTAGGAAAGAAGAAATCTAGACTCTTTGCAGGAGTTTGGGTAGTGTAGCCATGGCGGTCCCGTAAGGAGGCCGTTTCTGATCAGGGTAGGTGCATGGCCAGTTTCAGAGCATCATGTGGGTCTTGCGGTTCGAGTGCTGGTGTGTGTCCGGATTGCCAGCTGCGAAGGAGAAGTGCACCAGGTTGGTTTGTAGTGTGTTCTTCTAAAGCTGTCCAAATCTGTTTGCCAGCATTTGGAGGCAGAAGCTCTTTGAAGGCAGGTGCTGCGGTGGCTTATTGTGCTAAAATAGAGCAAAAGCGGATGTGTGACCGTGACGTGCAGGACAAACTGGGCAGCCACTGTTTCTAAGCACCTACTCAGGGGAACCATCTAGCCCTTAATATGCTTTAATGAAGCATTTTATATTATAATAAAAAGGAATTATGTCTGATCAGTGAAGCTGGTGGGCTTGAAAGTGTTTAACAGAGGTACAAGGGGGTTGAGACCGTACGAGACTGTATGGCATGGTGAGATACCACGTTTTGCTCGAGCTTTGAGCTTCCTGAACTTAAAAGAGAAAGTAAAGAACGTGCTAATTTTCTTCCTTGCTGTCTGTAACAATGCGATGATCCTGTTATCCCCCGTTACACTGCAGGGTGCGTTCTCAGTCGTCTCTCCCTATTACACAGACTTTCTCAACGCTTTAATTCCCTTAGAAAGAAAGTTAGTGAAACATCACTGCGTAACTGTATGATTGGTAACGTCTTTTTCTCATGCTGTACCCTGGAGGGTGTGTTAAGTCATCCATGTAATCCATGGATTTGCTGGTGATTTCATCCAGTATGGAAAGAGCAGTTTGCTACTTTGAGGGGTGTGCTTGTGTACATTTCCTTCTGTGTATTAAAAAGCCAGTTGTTATTAACTTCACCGCTGAATAAGTTTACCCATCCACACAAACGTGACAGCCAAGATGTTCGCGCCCATGTTGGTTTATTGCAGCGCGGATGTGTTTGTGATGAGCCCTACCTCATGATTTCTGACTGCGATAAAAGGTTTGTGTAATATTAAAGCCCCGGGCAGTCGAGTTGCTAGGTTTATAAACAAATACCTGCTTCACTCTAGGAACTGCCTTGGCAGGCCTGTTGCTGTTCACTGAAATCCAGATTTTGCGTATCCTTAAGTCCTCTCAAGATGTGAGAAAGATTCTCAAGATTCCTCTCAAGATTCCCCCCACTTGTCTTTTTTATAGTGAGGAAAAAAGCGGTTATCTAGTTGCCTGACTAAAAGCTTAAAACAAATACAGTATCATAGCTCTCAAATTCCAGAACTGTTTTGTAGTTGAGAGGCAGACTCCCGTCTGTAGGGGTTTTCGAGGACAGTGGTGTCTTCTGAGGCTCTGTCAGCTGGAGAGAAGGATGAGAGAGGCAGCAGGAACAGCAGTTTTGGGGCACCCTGTAAGATGCCTCCTGCCGTCACGCCGCAATGTCTTTCTGGGGCAGCCGCACAGAGCAGACTGGGTCTGAGGTGGCCGCGGCCGCGGCCCCCCCGGCCGCCCTGCCTGCGGGGAGCGGGGATCCTGGCCTGCCCTCCAGGACAAACGCTGCCTCCATCCGTGCTGGTGGCGAACAGAAGCTTAGCTGCGGGCAGGGTCTGAGCTCAAGAGCAAATACAAGCGTGTGATGCTGTAGCACGGGGCCAAACGCTCCTCTGACCTGGACAGAGTGGCTGTACGAGGGAGTCTGCTAGCAGGGGAGGCGTGGTGAGCAGTTGACCAAGTTCAGGTCACCTGTAGATTAAAACAATCTGGGCTAACACCTAGCAGATGAAAAATGTACTGAGCAGCAAAGTGTGCGGTGGTTCAGGGTATCCGCAGGCCTACTCGTCAGCTTGCTGAGTGGGCAAGACCCAAAGCCTTTCCTGCGTGTTAGATCAAGCCTTGAGCGAGCGACAGCGGAAGGGAGGACGAGGAGGTGGGTAGTGGGGTAACTGCACCCTGCCGAGGCATTTCCTCCCTAGACTGGAGTGGTGCAGACTGTGCTCTCAAGCCTTTCTCTTCGTGCTCAGGCATTGATGGTGTTCAATTTAGGGAGCGGAGAGTGTCGTCAGTGCCAGGAAGATGATGATCGCCATCTTTTTTTTTTTTTTTTAAGGCACGTCTCTGCTTGCAGGAGGAACGCGATCCTGACTTTCTCCCTTTTGAAGAAAGACCCTGAGCTGAGCACAGTTTTGTTTGAACAGCATGTTAATCCAGTATCCCCTTTCTGTTCAGTTGCACAGCTTCCGACGATCACGGAGCAGTCTGACACACAGATCGCCTACCCCTTCGATGAGGACTTCACAATTACATGCGAAGCTAAAGGAAATCCACAGCCCACGTGAGTACTGCTTTCACCCAGAGAAGCAAGTAGGAGTTGAGTTTACTTTTAGCCTTTGCTGAACATTATCCTCCTTTGAGGAGGAAAGGAATAGCTGATGTTCAGTAACCTGCTCATAATCTTAAGGCTAGGTTAAGCTTTATGTTTCCAGTTAGGCCGTTCAGCTTTTATGGTTTGACCTTTTCCTCTCGTTCTGTAAATAGATATCAGCGTGCCTTTTTCTTGCTGGGAGATGTTTCGTTTCTTTAGTATATGTTAAGTTCACTCAGTGATTTACATGAGCGTGTCTAGGTCGTGCTGCAAAAGATATGAGGTGTGTAATGGTAATCAAAGAGTCCCAGCTGTTGTTCGGCCTTTTTCCACAGCAACCCTAAAAATACCAAACCCATTAAACCCGGTATTCAGAGATCACATTTGCATTTTATCAGATGCCTTGTCTATCCCTAACATCATCATAGCAGTGGTGGTGTTACAGATACAAACATAAGCAGTTATTCAAACAAATATAAGCAGTTCCAAAGATAAGCATAATGTATTTTATACTAGTATAAAAAAGAAAAAGATTTTTAATGAAAATGTGATTAACAAAAATGTTATAATAGAAGGTCTCCCTATGACCTCTGTGACTGTGGTATTGTATGGGCTAAATTAATAGCTAGTTTGCATGTCATTTTTGCTGCTTAAAACTGCAGGTCTTTTTTTTCTCTGCAACACAAGTTAAACTTGCTTTAAAAAGGCAATTGTTATTTTAATACCAAGATGATTTGACCATTTTTAAGTTGGCTGTGAATGGAGATCTGTAGCATGATAACAGATTTGCTTTGTTTCACTGTTTGTGAATGGATAAGTGAAAAATTTTCCAACATATTTAAATGTATGTATAGAGCTGGTTAGGCAGTAGAACTTCTACCAGGAACTTTAATCTTAATCCCAGATGAAAAGTGAAAGAAGTAAAATGAAACATGAAAAAAAAAAAGGCAGAATGACCTTTATTTGTCATTATCAGAATGCTTTGTTTCCATGCTTAGAATTAAACACTGAAATATCAATTAGAGTGCATAATGCAAGTTTTAAACCCCACCACAGCCACCACAATGTTACCATCCCATCAGAATAAAACTAAAGGCAAAGCTGAATATTTTGGCCTTGCCTGTACTGTGAGGTGTGTGGGTCTTTCTGTGCTGTACGCTTGCATCCCTGCTCCACGTCAGGGTGAGGCAGAGGCACTGCTCTTCCCTCCCGTGTCATCACCGTGCCTTTGCAAGGCGGTTTTACCAGTCCTGGTGAAGTGTTTGTTGACATCAACTTACTCTCTTAAAACATCGGAAAGTGGTAGTATATATTCCACTAAATACATGCTATTCTCTGATTTTTCTCTAATTTTGTCTCTGCTTTTCAATCCATTTAACGCAATTTCAGGTCATATGAGATTTTCAGATAGGTAAATCCCAATACTTAAACATTCGTCAAAATCACGTCCCAGTAGCATCAAAACTACAAGACCAGGAGAAACCTCAGTTTCTCCTGGGTTCAGCTCTGGTACCTCCTGCCGTTGGTGAAAATGGTTCCTATCAGTCCGTGCCGGTCAGAAGTGCTAGGAACTGTCTAATGCATATGGCTTTTTCTCAAACCTGTCATTTCTTTCAGTGTGTGGCTCCAACTTTATCTTTCATTTGTTGTCCTTGCCCTAAGCTTTGTATTCTTATTTCATGTCACAATCACTTATCCAAAAGTAAAGGGTCCAGTAGGAGAGACATGCCCAATAGCTAGCCCAGGTTATGGTAACACGCTGTTCATTTTGGCAGCCAACTCTGACCTTATAACCAGTTTTGCCTTTTACTTTAATACTGGACCCGTCTTTACCAGTGTTTTCATATGCCCTGTATTCTGTGAGCTGTCCTTTCTAATCATTGTATTATTTTTCAGTTTCAACTGGACTAAGGATGGAAAACCGTTCGATTTATCGTCTGACCCTCGGATACTTACATTTAACAATTCTGGAACATTTGTGATTCAAAACCATGGGATCATCACTCATTTCCAAGGGAAATACCGTTGCTACGCATCCAATGCACTGGGAACTGCCATGTCAGAAGAAATTGAACTTATTGTTCCAAGTAAGGGCTTTGTATTTGTTTGTGGTTTGTTTTTTTTTTTAAGGTGGAAAACTGTATTTCCTCAAATTAAATGGGAAAGGACTAGTTGCTAACATGGAATATAGGAAAATGTGTGTTGTTTCATGTTCACTGAACATTGGAAGGAAAAGTATTAAGGGCTCCCTGGAATAACTTGATTTTCATTTTCCATAGCTGTATGAGAATCTCTAGAGAAAACGCTCAAAAGTTTTAAATTCAGTACCCTTCATTTTATTAGCTTCTTAGGCAAATAGGGTTTGAGAACATTATTTTAGGGATAGCTTTGCCATTCTTCTGATTTGCTTAGTGAGATTTTGCAGGACAAGCCTTTTGAGATTTCAGTGCTGTATCGCCACAGCTGTCCAACCCTGTCATGAACGACAGGGTAGTAAAGCATCCTCACCTTGACGTAATACCCTAATTTGATGAATTTTCCTAGATTTTAGTGACGGCAGAATTGCGAGGGGCTCACCCCTTAAAACCATCGTCTGGGAATTCTGATATAACTAGCAGTTCAGCTGCTTTTAAATTAATCTGCCAAGTAATACGAGGCTGGCTGTCTCCTTCCCAGCCTCAGTAAGGGCATCCCTAGACTGCTGTGGTGGGGACGCTCAGACTTTGCTAGCTGAAGGGCAGCAGCGTGACCGCAGCCTGACCGCATTGCTTTCTGGCCTGGAGTTGATGCAGCAGTCCCAAGCTATTTCCACAAAATTCCTGACTCCTGTTTTTGAGGGGGAAAATCTGAATGACAGACTCTGAATGCAAAAATTCAGACGCCACCACTGAACTGCAACCCCTTGTAGGTTTTCTAGCAGTGATGCTGATGCTCCCTACCTACTTTAATTAGTACAAGAGCAACTAGGTAAATTATGTGTATATTTTCCCAGCTATATTAATTTTGAAAACATTTATTGTTTTCCTCTGCTTGCTGAATACCATCTACCAAGCTTTATCTCTAGAGGGTAGGCCAGTGGGTAAATTAGTATAAACTTTTTAATAGCCATCTCAGGAGAACTGAACGTTCGATGACAGAAAATTATTTGCTTTGACTTGACTATTTAAACGCCTTTATAAAGCACGTGCTTTGTCTGTTTCATAAAACCCATAAGAATTGTTTTCTGATTTGCATTTGCTTAAAGCCTCCGTTTGCTTTCTTGATGCTACCGCTTCTCTTGGCTCTTTCTGTAAAGAAGAAAGCATAAATATTGATGAGAGTTGCAGTCAGATAAGTTCTGTACCTAACGTAGCCAGAGAAAATTTGTTTGTGAGCTGATGTCAATACACCAACAAAATAAATTTCGCTATTTGGAGAGGTGAAATAGGATTTCAGGGATAACAGAAAAAATGGCAGAGTAGCCATCCTAATCGCAGTACAGCTACTGCTTTCAGTATTAACTGTTCAAGAAAGATAGAAATAATGGCGTAGATCATGAATTAGTGTTGCACATTGAAAATGTAGCAGGCAATAATGGAATAAGAAATAATTGTCAGAGAAAGGAAAATTGGTTTGAGTCAAATCACTTTGGGGAATTATTGTAAAAGGCATTTTGGGTAAACGAAAGTTAAATTTGAAGTGATCTCTCTCTAGTACTAGAGAAGTCTATTTGGAAAAGAATTAGGGATCATACGATACTTTGACTTTGTAAATGTTCATTGGAAAACAAATGCTGCTGGGAGTTGTAGGACTCTAGGATTTCAGCTTGGCAACTGGGAACGAGTGCCCCAATATCGGGGGGCCAGTGTGGTCTCCATGCCAGAGCTCTGCAGCGTGAAAGCTGCAGCTGGGGGTGGGAAGGGAGAAGTAGCAGCCTGTTACTGCAGAACAGCAGACGAGACCAATGCCTGAAAGGTCAAGGGGAAGTGATCCAATTAACCCTAGGTTCATTAGTCTGATGTCAGTGGCGTTCAGGGTTTGGCACAAAAGGGGAAAACATTAAGGGCATGGAAATAAATGGTAAATGAGCTCAAAAATGTGATAAGGAGAGTTTCTGATCATATAAGGGAGGCCTTCCGTTATTAGCATAGAGGAAAGCAGAAGGAGATTTGGGTGATTTTGAGGATCAGGGGTTATAGAAGTGGGATGAAATGTACTGTTACAAAGCGCAAGGTTGTGTAGTTAGGCATCAGTTGGAACAACGTTGCTGCAAGCAGCTTTGTACCAATAAATGTAAGCACTTGTGGTCTGGATGTGACAGAGGAAGACGAAGACAAAATCTTGTATAAAACAATCAGAGGATGCATGGGTAGCCTAAAGTGCAAGCTGGAGAAACTTCACCTGGAACACTGGTCACCCTGTCAGAAAAATGACCTCACCTGGGAGAGGGGCAGACAACTAGTAGGATCTGATCATGGGAATGGCTTGTATATGAAGAAGAAACTAAGAGAATTGCAAAAATTAAACTTCAGCAGCTACAGAAAGCTGCTTTTAGTAACTCAGCGAAGAAGAAATAGGCTATGCGAAACATGCACAGCAATTTTTACCGTGTGTCTGTCATAGGAAATAAACCTGAGAAAAGTACTCCAGGCATAGCCATGGGTGGCAGGGTCTGTGGCACCATGGTCGCCTTGGGACTAAGACATGTTGCAGAGGCTGTCAGGTTTACTGGGAGAAGACTGCAGGAAGAATGCGTGTACATGTATTGTTGTGAGCATTCCTCATGAAAGACTCATGAAAGATTTATTTTTCTTCTGACCAGTTTTTTGGACTTTTCCTTGGGAAATGTATTTCACATTACATTGTGTTGCATAGTAGTCTCTGAAGCATCTTGATACTCGGTGAGGAATTACCAGGATTGCATATATGACTATATAGTTTAGTCTCCACCAACTTGCAGTTGCTTTAAGGGAATAGCATTCCTTCGTAGAGGAGAATTGCACAAAAGGTAAGCTCCACAGGTAGGACACTGCAGCCGTGTACCCCCTGTCAGCTGGAGTTTGAAGCAGGATCAGAAGAGCAGTGCAGTTACCCAGAGCTTTGGACAGGATGTAACTACTCGCTTTGGTATCTGGCCAGGGCAGTGGGGTTAATGCTTCTCTTAAGAAAAGTATCTCAGACTCATTAATTTTTGAAAGGGTTCGAGACCTCAGTGTTACGTTTCAGGGAAAGCATGTCACCTCTAGCAGCAGAATATTCTGATACTACAATGCTGCGTTGTTACTGAACCAAAAAGACGCCTAAAAATGGAAGACAAGAACTGACGGCTGTCTGTATCTTGGATTACTGGTTCTGTACTCAAAATAGATAGTTTTTGCTTTTAATGAAAGCCTGTCTATATGTCAATTTGAGCTGAACAAAATTTCCTTTACTACTACTTCTACTCCCTGCTTCTATATAGGGAGTGCGGTCCTGGTTTTGTTGCTGTGCTGACCCAGGTTGGTCACAGACAATTACAGGGTGGTTTTTGAGCTCTGACTCGGGTATCGGAGCACCTCTACTTTGGAGGTGCTTCCTTCAAACGTGGCAGATTTCAAACAGAGCAGCTTCCTTTTAGATGAGACTTAACTGTAGTGGGTTTTTTTTTTCTAACCAGTGGAATTGAGCAAAGCAGTTTGTTATTTCCCCATTGATTGATTTCAAATGCCAGTGAATACATATGTGAAAGGTGCGTGGAAAATGTTGAAAATAAATTTCTGTCATTCTTCTGTTGTTTATCATTTGAAACTTTTCCAGTTTCTGGATCTGTTGCGTCCATCTTTACCTTTGTTTCTTAGTCTGAGGTTAGCCAAAGTTGGTACCTAATTTGAGTAGATTAATTAAACAACAGTGGGGGTAGTGCACAACAGGTAACGTTGAGAGGGTGGAAGGAAGGTGGCTGTAGAATGTGAGAGGAATTTCAGTACTAATAAATGTAAAACCCTAAGTAGAGAAAATAAATAAATGATACAGATAGTTTATAGGAGGGTTTTACCCGACTCCCTCTGTTCTTAAGGCACATTGACCTTTATTCATACTCTTCTACTACTTTATTTAACTGTGCCTGTATTCGCTGCAAATTAAATCAGGATTCAGAGAGTAATAAAAAGACACCTTTGATATTGTAAAGTGCTGGATAGCCTACAACTCTCGTCAAGTGAAAGAGAGCTGCTGGTGCACAGAACCCCTGTAAATTAAGCAAGCCCTGACATAGAAGAGTTTGGGATAAATTAACTCTATTCACCAGTAAGTATTGAAGCCGAGACTGATCCATGTGAGATCACTACATGCATTCACGGTAATGATGCAGAGGTTGCAGAGCTTTGCCAGCGGTATTCAAGTAAAATGTAAGCTACTTGGCAAGTCACTATGCCGATGAAGTAAAACAAAACAAAACAAAAAAAAAATCAAGTCAGACCTTCCGACTAGGTTAGTTTTTTTCATAAATTACGTTTACAACTGCAGAAGTAGAATACCGGGTTTGTGAGGAAAGTAAGTTTGCTGCTGACAAGGAGAGCAAAAGGTTATTTACGCTCAGCAGACAGTCCAGGAAAGCAATAGAAATGTCAGCAGAAATGATCATTAAATGTCACCCACATAATGAAAATACCACACCTCCCCTATATATGATGACATTAAGGAGAATGGGGATGAATAGAGTCTCAGGATCTGCGTACATTTTGTATCTTTGACAAAGTTTAGCTTGTTACAAGATACATGCAGAATGAAAATGAATTAAAATGAAGAGAACATAGACACCACCTACCCTCCTCCTGTATTTTGAGGAATTTGTTACTTGAATTACTGAGTAGCCCCAGTGCCAGAAGAAGGAGCAAAAGTACAATTTAAACGTCATTAATTAACTTAGTGTGAAAGACCCTTCACAGCAGACTGTGGTAAAGATTACGCTGAGTATTTCTGAATCGTTGCTCTGAAAGGCTGAAGATGTGAGGCTGGAAACATAGCCTAAACATAAAATTACCCAGTGGCAACCAGTGCTGCGTTAATAATGTCAGTTCTACACTGCCCAAAGAAAGCGAAATCGGCATTTAATATTCCAAAATATTGA